GGCACCCCAAACAGTATTATCTTGTATATACCCATCAGCTAAAGGTGTACATTCACATCTGTAAATGAAACAAAAGAAAACAGAGTAGTGTACTAGGATGAAGACAATATACTTGTTGCAAATTACCTGCCTCTTATTATTCTTGATCTATAAGCAACATTCCTATCACAGTTATACCCAATTTAAATTAAGATTCCCAGGGGCGCCTGGGTGGCTCAGTTGGTTAAGCGACTGACTTCGGCTCAGGTCATGATCCTGGAGTCCCGGGATCGAGTCCCGCATTGGGCTCCCTGCTCGGCAGGGAGTCTGCTTCTCCCTCTGACCCTCTTCCCTCTCATGCTCTCTGTCTCTCAAATAAATAAATAAAATAAATAAATTAATTAATTAATTAAGATTCCCAGGAGGGGCATCTGGGTGGCCCAGTCTGTTAAGCGTCTGACTCTTGATCTCAGGGTCATGAGTTCAAGTCCCACCCTGGGCTCCACACTGAGCGTGGAGCCTACCAAATAAATAAATACATAAATACATAAATAAGATTCCCAGGATAAGCAAAATGGAAAGTCGTTTTACAAAATGGAAAGACAAATCTTCTAGTCATAATTGCCAAAATGTCCATCAATGGTGGATGGATTAAAAATTGTTCTAATTTAACTGGATAATGTATGGAAGTGCTGAATCACTGTACTGTACACCTGAAACTAATACAACACTGTATGCTAACTGGAATTAAAACTTTAAAAAAAAAATTGTACATCCAAACAATGAACTACCACTCAGAAATAAAAAGGAATGAATTACTGATACACAAACATGAATACAGATTCCATTTATATGACATTCTAGAAGAGATAAAACCATAGAGATAGATCAGAGGTTGCCAAGGGCTGGGGAAATAGAGAGGGGACTGACTGTAAAGGGCCACAAGGTAAGCACCTTTCTGGGCAATGAAAATATTCTATATCTTGACTGAGATGGTGGTTACATAACTATACATTTGTCACAACTCATCAAGCCTACACTTAAAAAGAGTAAATGTTCTATCTCAATAAACCTGACTTTAACAAAAGAGCTGCTCCAGAAACTGAGAGCTCCCATTCATTCTTGTATCCTCACCAAGCAGTTCAGTAATGGCAGGTAAATGGCATATGGCAGACTTGTAACACTGACACAAGGACACCACACTGTCAAAGACACACAACTACTCCCAGAACGTTCTAATTCAAATTTAAAAATGGAACAGGGCATGGTGAATTAATGCAATGATGTGCTACAAACCTCTGATTTTTTTTTTTAAGTTTTTTTAAATTTATTCATTCGAGACAGAGAGAGAGAGAGAGAGAATATGAGCAGGGGGAGAAGCAGAGGGAAGGGGAGAAGCAGGCCCCCCGCCGAGCAGGGAGCCCGAAGCAGGGCCAATACCAGGACCCTGGGATCATGACCTGAGCCAAAGGCAGACGCTCAACCATCTGAGCCACCCAGGCGCCCCCAAATCTCTGATTTTTTTTTTTTTAAGATTTATTTATTTATTTGAGAGAGCGAGAATGAGAGAGAGAGAGAGTACATGAGAGGGGGGAGGGTTAGAGGGAGAAGCAAGCTGCTCGCCGAGCAGGGAGCCCAATGCGGGACTCGATCCAAGGACTCCAGGATCATGACCTGAGCCGAAGGCAGACGCTCAACCATCTGAGCCACCCAGGCGCCCCCAAACCTCTGATTTTAACATTGTCAAAAATTCAAATTTAAATACATTCCACAAGAATAAAGGCACACTCCATATCCTACATTGTTTTTATTTTTTATTTTATTTATTTATTTGAGAGAGAGAGAGAAGAGTGATCGAGAAAGAACACAGTGGGGTGGAGGGGCAGAGGGAGAGGGAGAAGCAGGCTCCCCACCGAGCAGGGAGCCCGATGCGGGGCTTGATCCCAGGACCCTGGGATCATGACCTGGGCAAAAGGCGGGCGCTTAACCGACTGAGCCACCCAGGCGCCACTCCTATATTGTTTTTAAAGGATAAAGTTAGTAGTTTCTAACAACACACAAAAAGATTAAAACATAATTCAACAAATTCATCAGAGATCAAAGTAAAAAGACTCATTTAGTGTAAATCCTTCATTATTACAAATCTGTTTTTGGCTTCAGTTCATTTAGAAAGTATGGAGCTCCCGCTTTTGGGTCAATGTAAGATTTTGCTTCTCTGGGTGAAAGTCAACGATCAAAGCTAATCAACTCAGTTTTTTGCTTACTCCACTCTACAGCGTTGTCAGGGAGGAGGAAAATGGTCAAGTCAGAAATAGGTTCTTCCAAGGGTCTATAAGAAAATGGATTCCCTGACTCACCTAGTCTGTGGTTCTCTATTATTCCCTCTTTATGGAACTTCCTAATCCATCTCAGGTAAAGGAACATATGCCACTGTACTACTCCCTTACCAGGTTAAAGAGCCTTAAATACTATACGCTAATACACTACAGGAATGCTTTAGACCAAAGTTTACATACACAGATTAAATACCCTGTTATCCAGCAAGCAAGTGGCATTTTGAAGATTAAAATGCAGGCATTTGATACCACGAGGCCACAGTTTCAGGACATTGTTGAAAGCATGGAAACAGGCAGAGCAAGAAAGCTTTTCCTAAGTGATGGCATTTTCTTGCCAGGAATTACCTCATAACACATATAATGAGAGGCCAGTGAAGTTTCTTCACAAGCTATTTGCTAGATGTTTTACAGAAGATAATTCCCAGCTAGGCTGGAACAGTTCTGAAGCCGGTGCAAGAGAAGAGTTCAGAAAGCGCTCGGACAGAGTCAACATCTGCCCAAAGGAATTTCCACTACCAGCTGTCATTCCCTAAAAATGATGTTCCTGGCCTTTGTAAAAGGTCTGCATGAACAGAATCAAAGGTTCCTTTTACAGAATCATAGGATGCGAGTGCCAGCAGGGACCTAAGGCTCGTTTGAGCCAAGCTGTTTTTAGGAAGGAGGTAAAAGTAAGCCCGGAGCGGGTGTCCCCGAGCCAGGCGGTGAGCGGCAGGGCAGCCTTCCTACACGCCTTCCTTTGAAAAAACGCGTAACCGACCCTTCGAAACAGGTCTGTACGGAAAGAAAGCTACTCCCTAATGCAGTCTGTACTCTCTCCAAAACCTCTCTTCTGACTAGCTTTGCAGTTCCTTCCAAGGGGCCCTCCACGGCTCCTCAGTGGCCACTCAGCTGCAGTCACGGTCACCAAACTTAGTTCCAGACAGTTTTTAAAAACCGGGCATAAAGGACATTCCACGCGACCCACCCACTCACTCCTCATCAGCGCCACGAACCCGCTTCAACCCGGCAGCCTCCCGGAGCTGCGTGCCCAAACCCCAGGGAGGGCTTCCCTAAAAGCAGCAGCACACAGGCGGGGAACCGGAACACCCTCGCGCGCGCACTGCGCGGCCCCCCGGCATCTCAGGACCCCGGCCGGCCGGCCGCAGCTCACCGGCTCTCCTAGCAAACGAGACTCCGGCGTAAACACAAGCGCACCGCCCCAGCCCGCACGGCTGCCGCCTCCCGGAAACGGTCCGGACCGGCGGCCCTGCGGCGCCTGCCGCCTGCCCACCGCCGCCAGCGCGCTCCGGCGGGGGACCCCGCCAGCACCCGCCGCTGTCGTGCTCCGGCGGGCAGCGCGGGGCACCGGGCCCGGGCAGATCCCGAGGGCGCCGCGGTCACTTACGTTCTCAGTGTCTCTTTCATTCACCGTTGGCAGCGGGGTCCTAGTGGACATTTTACTTCACTTCACTTCTGCACAATGCGAGGCTGAAACAAAACAGCACGGCCTTGGGGGGCCGGCGACCGCGTCCTCGAGTGCCCCGCGGTTCCGGAGCGGCGCCGCGCAGGGCGGCTCCCCTCCCCCACGGCCGTCTAGATCCCGGGCCGGGCCCGGGCCGTCCCTCGGCGGGTCCCGGGGCTCATGCTCCCCCGGGCCCGGCGGCCGCGCCGAGGAGCCCCGCGGGCGGCGGTGGCGGGGCCGGGCCGGCGGCGGCGGCGGGCTGCGAGTCGGCCCGCCGGCGTCCCCGCGCCTCAGGGCGCCCCGCGGGCTCAAACCCCTTCGCCTCCTCGGCCGCCCTCGCCCGTCGCACCGCGGATTTCAGCGCCGGGGCCTCCACACAGCGCCGCCGGCTGCCCCCGAAGAGGAGGACGAGGAGGATGTGGGCAAGGTGGAGTGTAAGACAGGCCGCCGCGGGCTGCGGGCGCAGACCATGGAGGGGGCTGCGGAAGCGGCGCCGGCGCCCGGCTACTCTGCTCCCTCCGGTTCGCTTGCCGCCTCAGCCTCCACCCGGTGGCCGCCGCCGCTCCCGGTGCCTCGGAGCCTCACGGACCCAAGATGGCCGCCCCTCGGCTTCCTCTGCTGCCTCCGGAGGCCGGAAGTGACGGCACCGCCGCCTCCCGGCGCTCGGCCAATCAGCGCGGCCCGAGGAAGCCTGCCCGGCTGCTGTTGCTAGGGGCGACTTGGTCCTGTCCCTAGTGGAGGAGGCGGCGCTCTGGGCGCCGAAGGGGCGGCCGGCGCCCCCGAAAGAGTCGGCGCGTGGCCCTGGGGATGGCCTGAGTGCGACTGCTGGGTGGCATTTACAGTGTTAGTGGAGCGCCTACCGTGTGCGGGGTTGAGCGGGACAGCGAGGCACGGAATCGAGCCGCGGCAGCAGTTACAGGGCAGGGGCTGCGGGGAGGAGCCGGGCTCCTGCATGATTCACGGTGACTCGGGAGTCGAGGATTCAGTCACCCTTCCTGCCTCCAGCTCTGGGTAGCCGCGGGCTGGGCTCGGCACCCGCGAGGAGCTCGCGGGCAGGAGCGAGATGGACCCGGACCCAGCTTAATGCCATCCGGAAGGAAGACTGCTATACTGGGGGTCGGAGAGGGAGCGAGGCGAAGCCCTAGAAGCCCCCAGGGACCAGTTCCTAAATGCCAGCGAGTGGCTGCTGAAGGGCTGGAAGCACCCCTGGGTCCCAGCCCGGGCCGAAGCTCGGCGACACTTACAGCCTGGAACATCGGAAATGCTACTGGCATGCCGCCTCGCCTCTTCATGTGCCTGGTGGTCCTGCGCAGCCCCTGGCCTGCGGTGGATGGAATCCATTGGTTCGAGGTTCTGAGGAAGCAGAGGGGTATTGGCTGAAGTAACACGAACTGTTATTGTCTACCTTATGGGCACATTACATTTGTTACCTCATTTAAGCCTCGGGGTAACCCTATATATTTTTTTAATTTTTTTTTTTTTTAAGTAAGCTCTACGCCAAAATGTGGGGCTTGAACTCTCCAAAATCAGGAGTCTCATGCTCTACGGACTGAGCCAGGCGGGTGCCGCTCAGGGTAACCCTATAAAGACGGGCAGACACACCTGCCAACAGATTACAGTGACTTGACTCAAGTACCCAAGTTGGTTAGCTGCAGAGCTAGGATTTGAACCCATGTCCTAAAACTTCCCTAACAGATAAGTTCTTGTAGTGGGTATGCCTTGTTTTTCTTTCTTCCTTTTTTCGTCCCCCAGCATGTGAACCGTCTCTGCTATGTCTGGGACATTTCCTGCTCTGTGAGAAAAATATGTCTTTAAACACCAGCATCATACCCAGAGAGGGCAGACGTTCCCACCATAAAAACACGTGAGGACTAAGATGCATTGGGGCTTCCATCTCACCCTCTCAGGCTAGTGTTCACTGGGCCAAGGGTAACCTTGTTTAAAATGTTATTCTCTCGGGGCGCCTGGATGGCTCAGTTAGTTAAGCGTCTGCCTTTGGTTCAGGTCGTGATCCCAGAGATCTGGGATCAGGCCCCAGGTCGGATTCCCTGCTCAGCGGAGAGTCTGCTTCCCCTTCTCCCTCTGCCCCTCCACCCCCATTCCTGCGCTGTCTTCTCTCTCTCTCTCAAATAAATACATCTTAAAAATAATAATAAAAATAAAATGTTAGGGGCGCCTGGGTGGCTCAGTCGTTAGGCGTCTGCGTTCGGCTCAGGTCATGATCTCAGGGTCCTGGGATCGAGTCCCACATCGGGCTCCTTGCTCAGTCGGTAGCCTGCTTCTCCCTCTGCCGCTCCCTGCCACTCTTCTTACTTGTGATTCCTCTCTTTCTCTCTGTCAAATAAATAAATAAAATCTTTAAAAGAAAAAATGTTACTCTCTCTCTCCCTCTTTGGCCAAGGAGACATGATTAAATTCTCATTACTTAAATTTGTGTGCTTCATACATTTCATCTGAAATGTGGGTAAGCACAAGATTGTTGGAGCTCCAGTAGGGCATTTAGCCCAATTTGGGGGGTTGGGTCAGGGAAGCTTCTTGGGAAAAAGATGTTTATTTATACTGAAAGTGTGAGTAGAGGTAGCCAGGGGAGGATAGTGATATGCTCGTGATCGATACTCCGGAAGCTAAAAGTACGGAGGTGTTGAGTAGTGGGACTTCTAAGGGGTTTAGGGGGATAATGCCCGTGGGTGGTCAGCATCCTCCTAGTTTAGGAGTAGGTGCTAAGCTGGAGTGGTAGAAGGCTTAGAAAAAACCTACAAAAAAGAATACTTATGAGACAATGAAAAGAATTATGCCGTATCGTAGGCCTTTTTGAACAATGGGAGTGTGGTGACCTTGAAATGTGCTTTCTCGAGCAATATCTCATCATCATTAATATATAGTTAATGTGTTAGTTGTGAGACCTAATAATAGTAAATATATTGAGTTGAAGTGAAATCATATGGTTGGGCCTGATGTTATGAGAAGGGCAGAAAGAGCTCCTGTTGGTGGTCATGGGCTTGGGTTAACTATAGGATATGCATGGGTTTGGTGGGTCACTGGAAAGGCATTCCAAGCAGAAGGGCAGCCTGTACAGGGGCTCAGAGATGAGGAACAACATAGTGGAGTTGGGTCAATGTCAAGAATGAGAGGCGAGAGGTTAGGTTGGTGCGGTAGGCAGGAGCCAGGCCAGGCTCAGACACCGTGTGGCACTCAGTTCTGCATCCTGATGAATGTCAACTAGATCAGCTGTGAAAACACCTGGAGGACACACAAAAGGGTTTCAGCCTTGGGTAGGAGCTGAGAGACAGGGTTTAGACAATTCAGAACATTCCACATTGGCCAAAGAAGTAGCTGGGGGATGAGGTTTCCAATTGAACACTTTTCTCACCAAGCCACACCTTAAATAATGAATCAGGAATGCCAAAAGATAGGAAATGAAGCTGACACTATTTAACTCAAGATGCTTTTGGTTTTCATAAAGGCTGGAATTAAAGAAACACTTTGAACTTTTCCTTTGTATATATTATATATGTTTATTTTTTCCATTTTTTAAAATTTAAATTCAATTACCCAACATATATTACATCATTAGTTTTTGATATAATGTCCAATGATTCATTAGTTGCGTATAACACCCAGTGCTCATCACATCACATGCCCTCCTCACTTTGAGCTTTTCAGTTCCCTCATGTCAGATGACATCACTGTACTATAAAGACCTGGAAATGGGAAAATGGGAGGCAAAGTATGCATGATACATGCAAAAAAAAAAAAAATGGAGGCAGTGGTGGGGGAGAAAAGAAAAAACAAAGCATTGTTATGTACGGATCCATGGGCTGGAAGGAATGGAAGGGTGAGATCTGGATCTGGAAGTCAGTCCCGGAATGCCTTCTTCTGTCCTTTTTCATGTTCCTTATTCTCTATCTTCATATTAGAATGGGCTCTAACTTCGTTTCCTTAAGCTAAAAGACATGAGTAAATCTACAAAGCTGTGTGTGCGCATAGGTAGAGCTCACTCACATGTCAGGAAGGAAGCTCATCCTGAGACGTGAGAGCTGAGGATAATCCAGTCCTACCCTTGTTGCGGGGTAGGGGGGTGGGCAGAAAAGGAGCAGAGCCTCCAAGAGGTGAAGTGACTTGCCTGCAGCTGCACAGCTAGTTAGCAGCAGAGCCGGAAAGGGGCCCAGCTCTACCGAACCCCAGAGCTGTGTCCTTGCTCCGTAGCTACTGTGTGCACCAGAAAGAAAGAATCTCTGAGTACCTGCCCTGGCCCTGAGACACTCTCCTCCAGACTGTGTAATGACAGGGAAGAGTCAGGGGGACTGGGAAGATGTTCAGGGCCAGAGAAGGGCAGGAACACCGTCTGAGACGTGAGATTCCTAAGCTGCCTGCTGGACCCTCACAGAGGGCAATAGTGGCCTTATGCAGGAAACATAAGCACCCATTTGTTGAAGCCGTGACAGTTTGGGTTGTCTGTTACTTGCAGCCCAGTGCATTCCTAAACCAATTCTGTCATGTGCAGGGGTGAGATCTGACCCCCAGGCCTGTGCTCTCTGCACCACATCTAGTTTGGACAGGGCTGGCAAGGCCTGCTGCAGCCTGGCCACCACACCACAGTGCTCACAGCCACAACCTCTCTGCTAGAGTGTGGGAGGTGCTGGGGCCAGGAGCTGTCCCTCCGTGTGTGTGTATGTGTGTGTGGGGGGAGGGGGGCTTGGGAGCTGACCCAGAGCTGAGCACTGAGAATAAACAAAGTCACAGAGAAGAGGAGTGTAATAATCTGGGACACCTGAGGTCGTTGTGCCTAGAGGCAGGGGAAGAGGAGGGGCCCGGCCTAGTGTAGGTCAAGTAGGCCAGAGACGCTTGGAGGCTCTGGGAAATATGAAGTCCATTTCAGAGCCACCCTCCAGGCTGTTCCCCAACATGCTGGAGGTCCGAGCAGACATGCTGCTGTTCTAATTCACTACTCTGGTCCCCTTCTTCACCCCAATGGGGCCATTACTGCCCTCAGGGAGGGTCCAGCAGTCAGCTTAGGAATTCTCATGTCTGACACTGTGTTCCTGCTGTTCTCCGGCCTGGAGCAGCTTCCTAGTCGCCCTGAATCCTCCCTTGTCATCTCACCTCTTCCATGGAGCCTTCCCAGATTGGCCTCCAGTGAGCTCTCCCCCACTCCCAGCATCCTTGATTTTTACTGCCTGAGGTCACAGTACATTTATTTACCTGGCACTGCACCAGGCACCTAGACTACAAACTCTCCAACAGCCCTGTGAGGGAGTCAACATGCATGTCGCTGGGCTTGGGTGGTGGGAGACCAGGGTTTAGAGAGGGGGACTGTAACTTGTCCAACATTGTCATAACCAAGAGGAGAGCCAGGATCGTACTCCAAAGCTGTGCTCTGCCCTCCAAGTGTCTGAGAGTGATGGATCCCTTTCATTCTGGTTAAGGGGAAGGGCTTTCTAGCCCCTTGTGCTTAGCTCAGCAGAGTGTCCATTTAGAAAGTCAGCACAGGGGCGCCTGGGTGGCTCACTCATTAAGCGTCTGCCTTCGGCTCAGGTCATGATCCCAGAGTCCTGGGATCGAGCCCCGCATTGGGCTCCCTGCTCTGTGGGAAGCCTGCTTCTCCTTCTCCCACTCCCCCTGCTTGTGTTCCCTCTCTCACTGTGTCTCTCTCTGTCAAATAAATAAATAAATAAATAAATCTTAAAAAAGAAAGAAAGAAAGCACAGATCTGACAGTGACCACCCTTCTCTCTTCTAAGTACTGCATCCTTTCAAGGTAATTGTGGATGGACTGCTTCTGAGATGGAACACAGACTTCCCAGCCTTCCTAAGCACACTATTCTGAAAAATTCAGCTTTGGTCAATAGTTACCCTTTTATCAGTTCCCATAATGCACTGCAACACTGGGATGGCCTTAGGGGACCTGGAGATAGAAAGGGCCGGTTGCCCCTGCACTTAATGGTCCCAGGCTATGGAAATGTTCTATTTTCTGATGTGCTGGAGATTGTCGGTCTGGATCTAGATTTAGAAGCATATGTATAGGACGTTCTGCTGGGTGAACTTCTAGATCTGGATCTAGATTTAGAAGCATATGTATAGGACGTTCTGCTGGGTGACCTTCTAGACCCTGACAGTGCGGCTCTGTAGCAGGCCCTCTCCCTTGGCCACTCTGCTCCGAGCTGGGGAAGCCCACTGTTGAATGCACGCAGAGGTCTACAGAGACAACAGGGATGGGAGAGAAGCGCGGGCTCTGGAGTTTGAACCTTGGATTTGAGCCCTGGCTCATGACCTTGAATGCTGGGTGACCTTGGGCAAATCACTTCACATCTTTCAAGGCCAGTTTCTTCACCAGTCACAAGGGAATACTAGTACCCGTCACTCACAGTTGCTGTGGGGATCCACAGAGGAAGTGCCCAGGGAGCAGCCAGCCCACATGTGCAGAGTTCACCTTCCCAGGCAGCCGCACTTCTCGGTTCTCCCCAGGATGAACCCTGGAGACAAGGCTTCTTAGGCCATATGTGGCCGAGAGTTGGAGGCTCACTCCTTCCAGGTTTCCTCATCCAATCTCACCTGCCTCACAGGGTACCTCATTATGAGAGGTAATGGATACAAATGCTCTTGGTGAGAGGTATAGCAATACGAGGTAAGCTGTTGGTGTTCGCATCGCGGCCTCCGTTTTGCTTTCAGGGACATGGAGACTGTGGAAGGGCAAGAAGCTTGCTCAAGCTCCCAGGGCAGAAAGCAGTGCTCTAGGGGCGCCTGGGTGGCTCAGTCGTTAAGTGTCTGCCTTCAGCTCAGGTCATGATCCCAGGTCCTGGGATCGAGCCCCGCACCTGGCTCCCTCCTCAGCGGGGAGCCTGCTTCTCCCTCTCCCACTCCCCCTGCTTGTGTTTCCTCTCTCGCTGTGTCTCTCTCTGTCAAATGGATGGATAAAATCTTTAAAAAAAGAAAGAAAGAAAGAAAGAAAGAAAGA